TGTTTATCACAGGTTCTGTGGGTTTGTAGCTGGGACACAGTTTACCTGGGTCCTTTGCTTCTGGATCTCACGAGCCTGCCACACACCGTAGACCATGGCTGGGGTCTCATCTGAGGCTGACGGGAGGTGTGCTTCCCACATCACATGGTGGTCAGCAGCATTCCGCTCCCCAGGTGCTATCAGACTGAGTCTCTGAGCCAGAAGTTCCCTCAATCCCTCACCACCTAGGCCATTCAGGTCTGACTGCTTCATTCCTCAAAGCGGTGGCATGGGGAGATGGGGGAGAGTTTGCTAAAAAAATGCATATTGCAGTCCTGTGTAGATTTAATCATGGAAATGATATCCTGTCATTTTTGCCATATTCCCTTGGTTAGGAGCAAATCACGGGTCCTTCCCACCTCCTGCTCCCCACCACACACACTGACTGGGAGGAGATCACACAAGGTGTGACGTCCAGAAGGGGGAACCACAGGGACCACATTAGAGTCTGCCCCCACTGCATTATCAAAGTTAAGAGGCCCAGAACCAGTAGGGACTTTACTATATGATTTTTATTATTTGATTTCTTTTATCATATGATTTTTTATTATATTTTTCTCTGTCTCTCTGGAGTGTGTTTGCTTATTAGCAAGCTAAAGTACTGCTCCTTTGCAAACCATTCCTTTCTTCTCCTGGGTTCTCCTAGCTCTCTCCTGGGGTAAAAATTAATAGTGTGGGGGACTTATTGTAGGTACAGTTTCTCTGGTGCCACAGAGATTTGATTATTTCAACATGGCCCAGGAAAGGGATGGTCGCTTGAGCCAACCCAGGAGCAGAGGCTTAGACAGGGCCCTGACTAGTTCAGGCTGACAGACACTGCAGTGAGAAACTAGCACGGACCAAACCAGAGCAGAACGCAGCTTGTAGCATGAAGAGATATGACCACCTCACACCAGTGAGAATGGGGGAAATTAACAAGGCAGGAAACCACAAATGTTGGAGAGGATGCGGAGAAAAGGGAACCCTCTTACACTGTTGGTGGGAATGTGAACTGCAGCCACTCTGGAAAACTGTGTGGAGGTTCCTCAAAGAGTTAAAAATAGACCTGCCCTACGACCCAGCAATTGCACTGCTGGGGATTTACCCCAAAGATTCAGATGCAGTGAAAGACCAAGACACCTGCACCCCAATGTTTATAGCAGCAATGTCCACAATAGCCAAACTGTGGAAGGAGCCTCGGTGCCCATCGAAAGATGAATGGATAAAGAAGATGTGGTCTATGTATACAATGGAATATTCCTCAGCCATTAGAAACGACAAATGTGCTTCAACGTGGATGGAACTGGAGGGTATTATGCTGAGTGAAGAATGTCAATTGGAGAAGGACAAACATTATATGTTCTCATTCATTTGGGGAATATAAATAATAGTGAAAGGGAATAGAAGGGAAGGGAGAAGAAATGTGTGGGAAATATCAGAAAGGGAGACAGAACATAAAGACTCCTAACTCTGGGAAACGAACTAGGCGTGGTGGAAGGGGAGGAGGGCGGGGGGTGGGGGTAAATGGGTGACGGGCACTGAGGGGGGCACTTGAGGGGATGAGCACTGGGTGTTATTCTGTATGTTGGCAAATTGAACACCAATAAAAAATAAATTTATTATTAAAAAAAAAGATATGACCAGAAATGATACAGTGTTGAGAATCTAGTTCACATTGGGTTATGAAAGGCAGTTCTTTTCACAGAGACTAATTTGTGGAAAAATTGATAATTTATGGAGAAATATTGCTGGGTTATTAATTCACTTTTAAATGCAAAATAAGAATGAGCAGTCAAGGTCAAAATTAAAATCTTAATTTTTAATGCATCATGAAATGCATCTGTGACTTTCAGTGCTTTAAGATACTAGAGATCCAGGAAAGCCAATAAAACTTCAAGAATGTTCAGCTGTTATTGGGCAAAAGCTAGCTGTGTATAGAGGGCTAGAGAGATGAAGAACCACTGGCCGGTCCATTGTATAGATATTTTATCCATAAATTAATAAAAATCCTGGAACAGCAGAGTTGCCAAGGTATCTAACTTCTAATCCCCATTGTCGTCTGTGACCAGGAAAGACACTGGAGACTCAGTGGGTAGTTCAAGAAGAGGCACTTCTGTCGGGAGCACATGCTGGTTGGAGTGGGGGATCTGGGGGTCAGGAGGACCCTGCTTCCTTGAAATTGCAGAGAATCCTGTGATTGAGGATTGTAAAGGAAGGGCTCTGCCTCTGGGCCCACTTTCCTGAGGTGGATTTGTGAGTGAAAACCCAGACGTAAAGGGGGCATTGCTGGCTAGCCTAGCAATTTCTTTCCTTTCCGACCTGCCTTGCAGAGGGTGACAGAGTCACATATCTTGGTTGAAGCTCTTTTCCCAGGACTGCTGTAACAAGAGAAAGAGCGAAAAATGGAAGGCGAATGGTGGATAGCTTTAAAATGCAGCCAAATTTATTGACCCTGGTTGCAAGTTCTGTGCTACATGCAGTTTTCAGGCTCTCCTGCAGTAGGACGTCAGCTCTGCTAACAAAGTGATTTCTGACGTGGCCTGCCATAGGCAAATATGGGAAAGTATTTATGTTCTAGGATGTATTTTGCTATGGGAAGATGGTAGCTGCCTTGCTGTGCTTTTTATTAAAAGTGTTTTATAAGTATATTTAGCAAGATTTTCCTTTATCCTCCCTATTCTTCTATTGCTTGTTTTTGTTTCTGAAAGCTAAAATGAGGATAAGGAGTCCTGGTGGTCCATACATTTTACATGTTGGCCAATCGGCCTAGCGGGAGGTGGCCTCCTACCCCTCAATCTATCACAGTGAGAGAAGGTATATGTGGATATTTTGAGTCAAATGCTGAGAGTTCTGATGTTCTGGGTTTTCTTTCCTCCCAAACATGTTCTTGAATGGCACCTCCCTTTTTGGATGCTCCATGCACTGACACATATGTTACTAATCCCTGGGTAGGCAGGATGTTTTCCTTATTGCAGTTGTGCCTGTTTGCACATGCTTCCTGAGATCAAATTTTTTTCATCTGTTGTATCCTCAATCTTGTTTTGGCTCTCCTACCTAGAAGCCACACTCTCTTAATTAGCAAACCCCTTCCCTTTCTCACCTACACATTACGCATGTCCATCGCCCTGAACTCTTGAGAGCCAGAGCCCTGGGAGGCTGTGTATGAACTGGAAGAGCGAGGTTTTATGTTTCTCTTCCTTAAAAGTTGAGAAGATGAAAGAGCGAGGACTGTTTGGTTCCGCTGACTACTCATCTATGTGAACATTTAGAGAAATGAAATGTGCCCTATGGTTCTTGCCTTTGAGGCTTCTTCTGCTATGACACATCAGCTGTCTCCCCCCCAGAAGTACACGTGCCTCCCTCCTTCCCACAAAGGAGAGGCTGACATATGACTCTATTGTTCATCTTTATGTGTTTCTCTGCGCTCACACAGATGCCCCATCTTCGCCCCACTGCACCAAGCCCAAGCCCAAGTGTGTTCCTTTCCATCGTGTTTGTCCAGCTTGGAACACCTCTCCCGGGCACTGTTGCAATCCAGACTCTCCTGGTTGGCATTTGCTCCTTCTGCTCTTCCTGCTGGTGGAGTCTTTAGAGACTGGACCTCACATTGACACAGGGAGTGCTCCTAAAATTTCAGGGAGCTCCGGGCCACCAGTGGGAATGAGACAGCAACCCCTGGAGACCAGTCTTCACTTTCCAACCTAGATGGTACAATTTTGTTTCCTCAAATGACTTGTTCTGGTTTCTGGAAACCAGCTACCATTTGTCCTTACTTCCTACTCATTAATAGTATTTTCTGTTCTGGGCTTGTGTCCATTTCCCTGTATTCGTCTTAGGTTTAAACACCTGTCATATGGAAACAGGCTTGGAATGCCCTTTGCAGTAGTGCCCTGCAGGATTTAGTGTTTATTAAAACGGTGGCATTACAGGTGACTTAACGTAGCCTTGCAGATGAGAGTCTCTGCCTCGTGTCTGGATCCAGATGGGGTGGGGAGAGACATGTTAGAAAAAGTCCTGCATGCTTCTGTCCTCTAGAAGCTAAATTTCTGTTTAATAGATGGAGAACCGAATTTAAATAGTGCTTTAAATTGCCAGATATGTCTCACAAAGTTTGACCATGGTCAGAGCAATCTCTTCCTCCCTAGAGGCTGTAACCTGTAGAATGCCAGGCTGCTTCCTTCTTGGTTTTTGTTTGTTCATTTGTTTCTCTCACTTGGCTTCATTTCGCTTATAGTATTAAAAACTGGGGAGAAATTTGACTCATTTAAGGCCAGAGAAGGTCTTGTATAGTTGGCTAATAATTGACAATATGAACATATATGTAGAAGGACAGGGTGTATGAATAGGACCAGTGTTTGTAAATAGTTATTCAAGTTGTCAAGGATAACTGGTGGTCTTTTAGAGTTAAGGTTGTGTGACATCACTTTGAGAGGCTACAAATAAATTTAAAAATATAATAACCTAAGGAAGCAGGAGGCTTTCTGCTGTAATCAAGCTTTAACTTTTCTTTACTTTATATTAATAGGATTGTGAGCCTTATTTGATTCAAGAATGAGAATCGAATTCCAAGTACACTTTTGCTGACTTTGTGTCCATAACCTACTTTATCTTTCAGTGTTTGTGTTTAGAAGATAAATGCCCTACCTAGCTATTCTCTGTGTGGTCTCATTTTTGAGTGTCTATTTGAAGGGTTCTGTTTTGTTTGTTTCTTCTCTAATTGGCTGCACAGGAAGCTCCATCCTGCATTGTGAGTTGAGCATCTTCTTCATTGTCTCCTGTGCATCTCACTGTCTGTGCGCACACAGCATGGCCAGTACCCCACCTGCCCCCATGACTGTGCAAACCACTCCGCACACAAAAAGCCCCTCCACATGGAGCATGCCCATGTATTCAACATCTGGTGCAGGGAAGGACCGTGGAAAGGTCTGTGGCTTCATGTTGCCCTGAACAGTTTCCTTTTCCTCTTGATTTCCCCATCACAGATACTGCAATGAGCATTTGCTGTGCCCCCCGCATATGTTCTGGACGGGCTGGGGTCCTTGGGAACGGTGCACAGCCCAGTGTGGCGGTGGCATTCAAGCTCGCCGCAGGACCTGTGAGAATGGACCTGACTGCGCCGGCTGTAATGTGGTGAGTATGGACCTCTTCATTCTCAGCCCATGACCTAGAGCTGGAAGTCTCAAGCCAGCACATCCTGGGTACTCTGCACACACTTGATATACTGCAAGCATTAGGTGTTCTACAAACACTACATGCTTTGTAAACATGACATGTCTAGACACTGGATGCTCTGTACACAGTAGATGCTCTGCAAACATGAAATGCTCTGTAAAGTGACATTTGACAAGATGCTCTGCATGTGATATGTGCTGTAAATCATGTAAGTTTCTCTAGTTAATGAGAATATTTGGAGGAAATACTGGAAATTCATAGTAGCTTGGAGGCTTCTTGAATTAAATATTCACTTATGGGATAAACTGTCCCCGGAGTTCCTAGTTCTGATTTCTAAGCTATGACAAAAGCTTCAATGTGCTTACCTCTGGTCACTGTATTCGGTTTGGGAGAATGGCATAAGGTCTCCACACTGAACCACACGAAGGTATAGAAAGCAGAATAAACCTGAGACACTCTGAGGATCGAGAAACTTTATGGAGCTGTCGTCAGAGCATACTGGTGCCCAAGTCAGAGCAAATAAAGGACAACTTAGAGTTTTGTTTTTCTTCTGCCTTCACAGGTCATATTTCTTTTAACACTCTAAATCCTTACAAAAAATTCCACTTGTGCAAGCACCATTCCAAAGGCTGCTGTTGCTCTTCCTGTGGTACCTGTAATGATGACTTAGTACTGAGGGCTGCTGGGCCTCTGCCTCGGCCAGCTCCCCCAGGGCTGGCGGCATAGCGTGCACGCAGTGGGTGAGCATGTCCTGGGGGAGAAGCTCAGCATGATAAGGTCTAGCTTGGCATTCTTCCTCGCCGGTCTTTCCAGTCATTCTTTGCATCGTTTTCATAACCGTGGTCCATGAGGCTGAGCAATGTTTTTGTGCTGCAGTAACGCTTGTTTTTATGAAATGCAAAAACCACACACTCCTGAGAGCCTTGGAAAATTCAGAGAGGAAAAAGGCATGGGCATTTTTGTCAGAGATGCCCAATGCAAGGAGATTTCTGTTACTGGGATTTGCAATTAGATTCCTTCCCCTTCACTTGGCAAATATTGCCATAGCTTTAATGGAAGCTATAACTGATTATAGAAGCACTTCTTTCTGGGTTGGCCTGCACTGAATTTTGGCCATGAAGAATCTTAGTGCCAGTTTAGAATGATATTTATTGATATTTCAGATGCTGAAACATAAAATTATTTGTTAAAATGAGCAAGGTAATTCCGTGAACACTCACTTGTTCTAGGAAGATGGTTTAAATGGGTAGCTTCATTTTCTGCTGAAATACATCATTTCCTATTTCTGGTAGATCAGCACTTTAGTTTCTAAAACTTTTCAATACAAATAACTCAGAAAACATTTCAGGTCATTCATTTTCTTATTACAAATTGACTTCAATAATTAGGTTTAAAAACAGTTTAATGAAAAAAGAATTATATCAAGGAATCCCCTCTATAGTCACTGGAGTATGTGTGTGTGTGTGTGTGTGTATGTTACATCTGATTATAAATGTAAAAACCAAATGTCTTCCTAAAGTGTTAATGTATTTATTGCTTTGTGTCCAAATTTACAAAATTATGGTTTATGAAACAAATACAGCATCACTTCTCCAATCCAGAAAAATGTCATGCCTGTCTCCAATGAGCCTAATATCAGTTCTTAGGTATTTTAATTTAGGGTGGTTTTTTTGTTTGTTTTTTCTTCGTGGTCATGTACTTCCAAGAAGGTATCATTGTGGTAAAGTAGTGCAGTCTGCTCTTTTATGGTAGAGGCACAACGTTGATTTTTCTTCTCATGTAGCTTTTCCCACTTATTCCAGTTCCTGTCTCTCCGAAGACACTAATGCCAGCTCATGCCAACTGAGCAACATGAGAAGGATAAAGGAGGGGCTTGGCTTTGTTGGATTACTGAGAAAATGTATCCCATCCATTAAATCCCTAAGTTTATTTAAAAATGACAGTTACTTAAAGTAACATGTTGATTGTCAGATTCTTGCTACAGTTTTTTTTTTTTTAAGATTTAATTTATTTATTCATGGGGTGGGAGGCACAGACACAGGCAGAGAGAGAAGCAGGCTCCATGCAGGGAGCCTGACGTGGGACTCGATCCCCCCGGTCTCCAGGACCACACCCTGGGCTGGCGCTAAACCACTGAGCCACCTGGGCTGCCTCTTGCTACAGTTTTTAAGTCTTGAACCTCAAACTATGTTCGTTTTTTATGGAGGTCTTCTATACAATAATAGCTGTTAAGCATAGGTAACATTTTGATTTTGGAGTCATGAAGTTGATTATCCACTTGCCAATATCTAATATGAGTGACGAGTCACGTGGCATTTCTGAATCTTGGTCTCCTCCTCCAAGAAGGGGACAACAGTCCCTTCCTCCCAGGGTAGCTGTGAATGTCAAAGCTGGTGATGCCTGAGATTCTGGCACTTTCCTCACCCTTGTTTCTGTTTGTTTTTCCTGGACTACAGCTGCTTCACCAAGCTCAAACCTACTGAGCTAATGCTAATGCTCATGAAGCGTTATTTACACAGTAAAAGACGTGTCTGTGGAAACGATGACTCGAATTTCCTGAGTACTATAGCAATTTATAGAAAAAGAGTTGATTTCAAGTTCCAAGTATTAACAAGTTATAAAAGACTTGAGGATATTCTCTTGCTCCACCATGTTAAAACTGAAATACTGCGAAAAGATTTCCCAAGTATCACCTGTGAAATTCATATATCCTTGTCTTTGAATAAATCTCCAAGCCTTTATTTAAATCTCAATAAGAACTTGAGTGCAGACAAGGTAAGGGCCCTCTTGGACAGCTATGAGATTTTTCCTCAAAACCCTGCTCTTAAAATTTCCAAATGTTCACATTTCTTCAAGATCTCCATTTTCAGTTCTTTTGGGTAAACATGCAGAAATGGGCTTGCTGGATCATATGGTAGTTTCGTTTTTAACTTTTTTTTTAATAAATTAATTTTTATTGGTGTTCAATTTACCAACATACAGAATAACACCCAGTGCTCATTCCATCAAGTGTCCCCCTTAGTGCCCGTCACCCATTCACCCCCACCTCCCGCCCTCCTCCCCTTCCACCACCCCTAGTTCATTTCCCAGAGTTAGAAGTCTTTATGTTCTGTCTCCCTTTCTGATATTTCCCACACATTTCTTCTCCCTTCCCTTATATTCCCTTTCACTATTATTCATATTCCCCAAATGAATGAGAACATACACTGTCCTTCTCCGATTGACTTACTTCACTCAGCATAATACCCTCCAGTTCCATCCACGTTGAAGCAAATGGTGGATATTTGTCGTTTCTAATGGCTGAGTAATTTTTGAGGAACTTTCATACTGTTTTCCATAGCAGCTGCCCATTTCTCATTCCCACCAACAGGGTGCCAGGGTTCCAATCCCTTCACATCTGAAAGAATCGAAATCAGGATCTTGATGAGATTTCTGCACTCCTGTGTTCAATGCAGCACTATTTACAGTAGCCAAATGTGACATTTATCTCGATGTCCATTGACAGATGAGTGGATAAAGAAAATGTGCACATATGATCAAATAACTATTCAGCCGTTTACAAAGAACACGTCGCTCAGCATGTAACACGTAGATGAATCTTGAGGACATCATGCTACATGCACTTAAGCAGACACAGGAAGAGTCTATCAAATTCATAAACTCAAAGAGGAGAATGGTGGTGGAATCAAAGGGCCCCTCAGGGGCTGAGGGGGGAGGGAAATGGGGAGTTCCTGATCAATGAGCACAAAGTTTCAGTTAAGCGAGATGAGCAAGTTCTAGAGATTTGCTCTGCATCGTTGTACCTACATTGTGCACTTAAAAGTTTTGGGGAGTAGGGGCACCTGGGTGGCTCAGTGGTTGAGCGTCTGCCTTTGGCTCAAGCCATGATCCCAGGGTCCTCGGATTGAGTCCGTATTGGGTTCCCCACAGGGAGCCTGCTTCTTCCTCTGCCTGTGTCTCTGCCTCTCTCTGTGTGTGTCTCATGAGTAAATAAATAAAATCTTTAAAAGAAAAAAGTTTAGGGGGTAGACTTCATGTTAAATGTTCTTACTACAGTAAAATAAAATAAAATTAAATAATAAAAACATAAAGTTCAGGGGGAAAAGGTCCAAGTGTTGAAGGCGTGGTGGCTGTAGAGCCTTCAGTCGTATGGGGAGCTGATTGACAGACTCAGAGTGGAGACCTGTATCTTGTGCAGCCACTTAATTGTGTGAACCTGGGGCCCACACGGTCCTCGACCTCTGTCTTCCTCCGCATGATTTGAGGCAAAGCCAGCTGGTGTTCAAGCTCCCAGGGCCCTCAAATCACTGAGTCTGTGATCCTGGTATCTCATCTGTGGACCATGGGGTTACATATGTCCAGCTGACTAGGGGACCACTTCCAGCAGGTGTCCCTCCCCAGGGCCTGAGTCCTCTGATAAGTTTAGAATGAGACAATTGATGACACATCAGGACATTTAAGGGACAGACATTTCCTCTCCACATTCAAGTAAGCCTCTTTAGAACCAAAGGGGTGTCTGGGCTTCTCTGAACCTCAGTGCTCCTCCATGATATCCCTGCACAAATGTGACCTCACAGAGCAGTGAGGGGAGAGGAGGGGTAGAGCGGTGGGGCCTCTGAGTCACCAGGACGCTGCAGGTGCTATGCCACATCTCCCATCCATGTCCTCAAACAAAATATGAGGCATAAACACCCAGCGGTTTGGGTGATTACATGTAATCTCACCCGGAGTGAATGTTGCTCAGTGGCAAATGTAACACAGGCATTCATAAAATAGGAATTCCCGTCATCATCATGTTGGCATCCATTGTACAGTTTCTGTGGGAAAATATTCTGTTCTCGAATAATATAACAACAGCAACAGCTACCATTTTATATTTTATTATATTTTAGATCATCTTTATATTAAGTACTAATACATGAATATTATCGATATTTTATGTTAATATAATACTATTT